GGCCTGAGAACCAAAGGGTCACTGGGTCGATTCCAGGTCAGGGCACAGGCCTGGGTTGTGGGCCAGGTCCCCCATCTCTGTGACACAGATGCTTATCTCCTACTCTTTCTCCCTCCTTTCCCTTCTCTAAAAATAAATACATAAAATATTAAAAAAATAAATAACTTTGACCTTTGGATGAACAACGAGTAATGTTTTAGTGTAAGTATATTCCATACGATATTTGAGACATATTTACACTAAAACACTCTTGCTTGTTCATGTGAAATTCAAATATAACTGGTGTGCTGGGTTTTATCTGGTAACTCTGCCTGGGTGTGGTAAAAACTGCTGGGTAAGGGAAGGGCTAGCTTTTTTTTTTTTGTCCTTTTCTGGGGGCGGGTGGACCTGGAGTAGGATTTGTGGGGAGTGGGTGTGGCTCCTGGAGCAGAAAGAAGGAGCGCAGCTCAGGGAAGGCCACCGGGAGCCCTCCTGGGGTAGGTTAGAACTAGAAACCTCAGAGAAGCCTTTGTGCTTCTGTCAGTCTCTTTGCCTCCGGATCTGTGGGTGTTTTGGGAGGGTGAAGTGCGGAGATGACGGAGGGGGATGGGTCTGAAGACCGGGAAGCTCCCCAGCAGTTTTGACCGTTTCTCTGCTTGGTGTTAAGATGGTGTAATGCGTGCACATGCCTCAGCCGGGCACTGGGCCTTCTCTATGCAGATCGGGAGTCAGCCATTATAGAATGCTCCACATGCTCCCACTGTCATTGATTCTGCTCTTTTCTGACACCCTTGTCTCCAAAGTAACACTCTTTGGAGGGAAGCCCATCTCAGGGCAGGGCCGGCTGAACTCCGGGATTTCTTTCCTCAGTGCCCTGCCTTTCCCCTCCCTACTCTTGCTTTTAATGATAGTGCCAGCAGCTGCTGACTCGAGGGTACCATTCCCAGTTCACAAAGTGATTGGCTACCTTACACTTCGCTGGATCCTCCGAAGTCTGAGAAGGTGGTTGGTACTCATGTCCTATGCCAGTTTGAGGAAACCAAGTCCCAGAGATTGCCCGGCAACAGTCACCAGGTTGGGCCTCCACCCACTCGGGTATTTTCAGAACAAATGTCACTCTGAGCCTACTGTGTGGGACTTGTGTTAGGGACTGGGGAATGGAGGACAGTAGGACCCCGTCTCACTCAGTTTCTGCTCCTGAGAGCTCCCAGACCAGGGTGGGGGGGCAGGTGAGAAGCGAGGGGTGGTGAATTGATGAAGATGCAGGAATAACAACCCAAGTCCTCAGGGCAGGGGCAGCTATGAAGGAGGACCCCTCAGGGAACAGGTGGCTCCATGGAGGGCCTGTCTACACAGCAGCACCTCCCTCCCACCACCACGTTCTTCTACCTCTTCAGTAGCATCTCTCCCTCTCTGTTCAGCCTGGCCGCAGGCCCCATCACTGCCTTGGCGCTGGCCCCTGAGAGTGTCCCTGGGCCCCATGCCCTTGGCCCACAGCCCACCATGGCAGCTTGTCCTTGGCGGGGAAGTCCAGAACCTCCCCCGACCCCCTCCACAGCCCTTGTCCGCCCTGTCTCAAAGACAATCTGTCATGGAATTCCAATTGAAAACAGATTAGAAGAGAGCTGATGCTCTATTTTAAGGGGGAGCTGGCAAGTGCAGAGTCCTCCGCTGTGCCCCCACTGTACTTGGCCCTGGAGCCCATCCCTGCAAGGTCAGGGTCAGCAGAAGTCACTTCAGCAACACAGGCCAGCTGTACCAGCCACCCCAGTCATCCCAGGGACTGCTGTTCCTGCAGGCTCTTCTCAAAAAGGATGTTCTTCCAGTCACCCTGCAAGAAGTGCTCCTCCTCCCATGGTTCTCGTCCTCACGACCTCCCTGCCCCCCTCCCGCTTCCAGGACCAGGTCAGAATGTGGGCTGTGGCTCTGCTGCCCCCTCACCTCCACACCAACCTCCACACCAGACAGCCAGGTCAGACTATTTCCTCTGTACCTGTGTCCAGTGTTTATGACCCAGTGTCTTCTTTTTCTTTTTCTTTTAAGATTTTATTTTCTTTATTGTTAAAGAGAGGGGAAGGGAAGGAGAAAGAGAGGGAGAGAAACATCATTTGGCTGCCTCTCACACATGCCCAACCAGGGACCTGGCCCACAACCCACCATGTGCCCTGACTGGGAATCAAACCAGCGACTTTTTGGTTCACAGGCCAGAGCTCAATCCACTGGGCCACATCAGCCAGGACTGGAGCAGTGTTTTCAAACAGGGAATTGTCTCAGGAAGTTTCCTCAATAAAAGCCTGGATAAGGAATGGGCTACCCTTCCCAGCCAGCAAGTCTGTCCAGTGGGGAGAGACAGCTGGGCCTGTGGGCTTTTCTGTGCTGGGACAAGTCTCCTAATCCCATCTACTTACTTGGTGTGGAGGTGGAGCTGGTTTCACAATAGATATTAGAGAATAGAGCATGGTGAACCTGTGTGTATGTTATGGGGGCAGATAGGCCCTTGGGCCCTGACACTTGTCACCCTGTGCCAGAAAGTCATCTTCATGTGACATTTGGCACAAGTCATCATCCCTGCTCAGATGATCTTACTCCTTGGTGCCCACTGGATGGAGCCCACACTCTGTGTCTTGGTGTCCAGGCTCTTTTGGAGACTGGTTCTGTGGCCATTTTGAGCCTCACTTCCTGCCATTCGTCCTAGCAGGTGAGCCACACTGAACACTCTCCACATATTTCCTGCAGAGCTGGGTGGGACCAGGTTGAATGCAAAGAAGGTACCCAGGCCAGGGCAAGACCTGTAGTGGGGTGTTAGAAAAGACAAGGATCTCAAGGTCTGGGCAGTTCTAAATGTTCTTTCTTGCTGTGTAGCCAAGTGTTTTGTAGACAGAGCTGTAAACAGGTTGGGCAGGCAGGAACTCAACTGAATGATAGACAGTAGCCAACTGCAAAGAAGCAATCAACGTGTTAACGATCAAATGGTGTTCATGAACAGGGGCTAAGTCTCCCCTCAGGAAGGCAGAGCTTTGGGTGTGAATCCTGTCTTTCCTTTTTTTACTCGTTGCAAGTACATAAAACTACTTTCGGATAACCATATCTTGTTTTGAATAGAGCATCCCAAGCTGCAACCCCCTTGAGCTGGGTAATGGGTGTTCACTCAGGGGACTCCCCTGTACAGGTGCCTGAGCCTCAGAGAGGAAAGGCCCCTCATGAGACCTCTGCTTCAAAGATTTCTGGAATCTGCCCATCTGCCACTCTGCTCACGACCAACATTCTGGTCCGAGCCACCATCATCCCTCATGTTTTTTTTTACTGTGATGACCCCGCAGAAGTCTCCTCCTCCTTACCTACCCCCTCTTTTTTTTTAAAAGAGAGATTTTATTTATTTATTTTTAGAGACGGGGGGGGGGGGCGAGGGGAGAAAGAGAAACAACAATGAGTGACTGCCTCTGGAGCGCCCTCTACTGGGGACTTGGTCTGTAACACCAGGCAAGTGCCCTGGACCTTGAATCGAACCAGTGACCCCTTGATTCACAGGCTGGCACTCAATCCACTGAGCTACACCAGCCAGGCTGTAAGCACATATTGACTAGACACATATTTACCTTTGTACATATATATGCACACACAAAGGCTGCATGTGCACATGTATGTGCATGGAGGAACCACATTTTAAAAATTTATTTTTCCTGTGACCTTCAGGGATCTATTTTTTTCAACATCTTATTGGAAAAAATTTCAAGCCTGCAGAAGAATTGAAAGAATTGTACACGGAACGCCCACCACCTTGATTGTACAGGTACTTTGTTTATATGGACTCACTGCACTTTGTCCCTTGATCTGCCTATCAGCACGTCCTTTGTGCATTTCACCATATGTGCAGCCATTAGTACCTTCACCCCCAAACACTTCAGCATGGACTTCCATGTTTGTTTACTTTTCAGGTGTAATTTATATGCTGAGAAATGCACAAGTCTTAAGTGTACATTTGCTGAGTTTTGACAAATGAGTTTTTGACCTGTGTAACTCAAAGCTGTGTCAGGACAGAGAACGTTGTTGTCACCCTTAAAATTCCTACTGTGTCCCTTCCTTGTCAGTCCCCTAGCAGAGGCCACAAGTGCTCTGACTTAAAAAAAATGTAGATTGGTTTTATGTGTTCTAGAATTGCATGTACAGAGAATAATTTGATAAGTACTCACCTTTGTTTATTCATTCAATACAAATTTATTTAGCACTTACTATATGCTTACAGACTATATGTGATGCCCACAGAAAGTAGTGAGTTCTGGACTGATCAAATAGCCAAAAGTATTTCTAGGCCTGGCCTGTGACCCCATCCTCCCCTCTGATCATATTGTCCCTGAGAGACCAGGGACCCTGTGTTACCAAACTCAAGGTAGTTTTGTTCACTTGCAACGAACAAAGGAGATGGGATTCCTATCTAAAGATCTGCCTCCCTGAACGGGGGAGGCTTGGTGTTCTTTGCAGTTGGCTACTTTCACGGGTTCAATTCTTGTCAGCTTATCCTGTTTACAGCTTCGGTTCCCAAATACTCTGCTACATTTTAACATTTAGCAAGAAAAAACATGCAGAACTGCTCAGGTCTTGGGGTCCTTCTCCAATCTAACAGCCAAGCCTCAGAAAGAAATATGTCCTGGACTCCTCCCTGCCCCACCCCCAATCCACGCGGGCTCTGCAGAGCCCCTTAGCAGCCCCCTCTACTTCCCACACTACAGCTCCACCCATGCTCCTCTGTGTAGGTGTGCAGGGGAATGTCATCACCTGATCCGGGTCCAGCAGAAGGGGGTGAAAGTGCAGTTGGGGGAGAGAACTGAAAGGAACTGGACAAGTGGAGGCAGCACATAGTCTCATGATCCTGTGCAGGGGTGGGGATGCGGGCTGGGGGGGCGTGGACACTGGGCAGAGACAGGAGAAGAAATCTTCAAAAGAGAAAGCAGCTCCAGCCCCTGAGCATTTGGGATCGGACAGCGGAACAGCTCTTACCTGGAGCCACTGGGATCCTGGGCACAATGGTCTTGGTGTCCAAGAAGGACCTCAAGATCGCCATGGAGGTCTTTGCGATCTTCCAGTGGACTTTCAGTGCCTGGGTTTTTGGTGAGTCTTCAGCCTTTGGTAGTGTGACCAACTCTCTGGGTTTGCCTGGGGCCAAGGGGTTTTAGGGCTCAGCAGGACTTTTGATACTAAAACATGGATGGTCCCCAGCACATCAGGATGGTCACTCCCCCTGGCCTGTAGCCTGACATAGCTGGCCATGGTACTTGTGGGTATACGCGTGGGGGGTGTATGTGTGCATATGGGTGTACATGAGTGTGTGTAAGAGTCTTGCTGCAGATGCGTATGTTGGAGCTTCCCGGGTGTACACTGGGGCGTGGAGGGCATGTTTAGGGAGAGTGGGAAGCAGCTCCATGAGGCCAGCCAAGACAAAGGACTTAGTCGCACCCTGCAGAACGTGAGCAGACCATCGGGGGCAGACAGTTGTCCTGGTGATAGAAGGAGGCTGTGAAAACCTCTGGTGTGGAAGACTTCACCCATCTATCCATCCACTACCCCCCACCACGAACACCTTGGGCAAGTTAGTGATGTGCTGGCTGCCGTGTTCTATTTGTTGAAGCCGACCAGCCCCGTGGGAGGGGGGCCTGGACAGCGTTCTCATCAGTCGGACACTGCGGGCAGGGACATAAACTCAGTGACCTGCTAAGCTATCTGGGCAGGAAGAATGCATGTGGGCTCTGTGAGCCGGGGGCTTGCCGTTGACCAGGGAGAAGAGACTGCAGGACAGACACAGGGGGTTTAGAGGCTCGCTTTGGGGTGTGCACCCCCCACCCCAATGCTGAAAAGAGCAGTGTTAACCGAAAAGTCATTGGTTGGACTCCCAGTCAGGCCACATGTCTGGGTTTCAGGCCAGGTCCCCAGTAGGGGGAGGGAAAACACTGTGTGGGTGTGGCTGAGGGTATGTGCATCAGGGTTGCACAGAACTGTGCAGAGAGGGCAGGTGTGAGGGATTGTTCACAACTTCCTAACTCTGGGCTGAATGTCCTCCAGTGACCAGCGTGATCTGTGTCAACCTCTACCTGGTGCTGTACACGCAGTACTGGCCTATCACTGTGGCCATTCTCATCTGGCTGGCTTTTGACTGGAAGACCCCTGAACGAGGTAAGGGCCCTGCTGGGGCCACTACTACGTTTCCTCTTCCTGTACTCCTGAGAGGCTTGGGCCAGTCCCCAGGCAGCCTTCAGCCTTTCCTTGCCTGGGCTACAGAAGCCAAGGGCAGGGGTCTTTTCAAGGTCAGAACTGCAGCAGGGTAGGGGAGGGGCAGCTAGTGAAGTAGAAAGCTAGGCCGCCCTGCATTGGCCGTGACCTGACATACTCCATTCTGGTTGTCAGTTAAGAGGCCAGAGGCAGCAGGAGGTGACAGTACCTGTGGCAGGCCCAGAAGCACTTTGAAGGAGATGGTGGGGGTGAACACAGCTTGCCTGCATGTGCTCTATTTTCAGGTGGCCGCCGGTTTCTCTGTGTGAGGCGCTGGTCCCTGTGGAAACAGTACTGTGATTACTTCCCACTCAGGGTGAGCAGCCCCATGTCCCACTTGGGCCCTAGGCTCAGCCCTAACTCTGCTACCTGTGGTTGGGGCAGGGTGGGGGTTGGGGGCAGCATTCTCACACAGGTCCACAGGACGATGACCAGTGGAGTTCTGTGTTATCCCAGCCTGTGGGCCGGGCACAGCAGCCCTTCCCCTTCTCTGGCTGGGAGTTCTCTTCTCTTCTCTGGTAATACCCCTCCCAGCAACTCTTTCCTCCACAGCTTTTGAAGACTCACGACATCTCCCCCTGCCACAACTACATCCTCGTCTACCACCCTCATGGGTTCCTGTGCCATTCAGGCTTTGGTAACTTTGCCACAGAGGCTTCAGGCTTCTCCAAGGTCTTTCCTGGCATCACCCCTTATTTGCTCACACTGGGAGCCCTTTTCTGGGTGCCTTTCTTCAGAGACTACGTCATGTCTATAGGTGAGTGGGCTCTTCAGACAGAAAAACAAAAGAAAAATGGCTCCCACCCAGAGCAGTGTGGTTGCATGCATTGGGTGTCATCCTATGAACCCAAAGGTCACCTGCCTGAATTCCGGTAAGGGCACATGCCTGGGTTGTGTGCCAGGTCCCTGGTCGGGGGAATATGGGAGAGTCAACCACGCATCAGTGTTTCTTTGCTTCTCCTCCCTCCCTTGTCCTCTTGCTACTAAATAAATAACATGGCTCCCTGAGGAAGAAGTGCTAGGGGAATGTGTGAGCAAGGACACCTCCGTGAGCCCATGTGGTCTTTAAGAGCTTCCTCAGGCTCACTTACCTGAGATGAGGCCTTCTCCCCGCTCTGAAGAGCTTGGCAGGGAAGCTAGGAGATTTGGGAAGAAGCTCACAACTTTTTGCCTTTTTTTTTGTCTGCCAGGGATGTGCTCAGTGAGCCAGGCCTCCATAGACTATCTGCTGACCCAGAAGGGCAAGGGCAACATGCTGATTGTGGTAGTCGGTGGCCTGGCCGAGTGCAAGCACAGTGTGCCAGGGTCCACCACCCTGTTCTTGAAGAAGCGGACCGGGTTCATACACAAGGCTCTTCAGCACGGGTAATGCCAGTTCTGGTCCAGACCAGGGACAGCTGTCTCAAAAGCCCAGCAGGGCCGGAGGAAGGGATTTTGAAGAAATTAAACAGGGGGTGAAGCTCCTTCTGTGTCATACAGTCTGGGCCAGGTCCTGGAGGCATTTCTTCTTAAAGGCTAGAGGGCCAGTCTGAGCCCGATGTCCCTCACAGTAGCCTGTCCTTTGGGCCCATCCCTCTGTGAAAGGTGACTGGCTACCACCCCATCTCAGAGGGTGCCAAAATGGCTGTGTGCATTCAAGGGAATAAAGCATGCGTGAAACGTTCCTTGAATCTATTTTCCTTTGTTTCAGACCTGTGGGTTCACAGGGGAGGGGGGACTTGCCTTCTTGGGCTTGCTACTACTCTGTCCCCACAGGAAGCCTGGGGTACACCACGGGGCCCTCACCCTGGGCCTGGGTCTAGGCCCAGCTGAGTTAGGGGCCAAGGAGCCTATAGGCAGAGCCAAAGACCACTTGGTGGTTTAGCAGGTCAGGCTTTGAGCAGGGTCCTTACTGGTCTGGCCATTCGAAGACACGTCTTTCTTCCACAGGGTGGCACTAATCCCTGCCTATGCCTTTGGGGAGACTGATCTGTACGGTCAGCACATTTTCACTCCTGGGGGCTTGATCAATCGCTTCCAGAAGTGGTTCCAGCGTTTGACACACATCTACCCTTGTGCTTTCTATGGGCGTGGCTTCACTGAGAACTCCTGGGGCTTGCTGCCCCATGCTCACCCCATAACCACTGTTGGTGAGTGGGCCCTTTGCTGGCAGCCTCGTCTAGGACGCAGATCCAGTTCTGAGGCTGAGCCTTGGCTTTGGCAGTGTCTGGGCGTGGGGAGGCTGCCTGGGGTGGGCCATGTTGGAGTGGTGAGGATGGGGATGAGCTGGGCTGGAGAACGGAGGCCCATTCTGAGGCATGACCTGTTCTGATGCTTTTTTTGTCCTTCTCTGTCTCCCTTGGCAGTCGGGGAGCCTCTGCCAGTGCCCAAGATTGAGAAGCCGAGCCAGGAGGTGGTGGACAAGTACCATACACTCTACGTGGAAGCCCTGCGGAAACTGTTTAACAAGCACAAGACCCAGTATGGTTTATCAGAGAGCCAGGAGCTGGTGATAGCTTGAGACATCCCCCTGCTGCCTCGGCCTCACTGGAGGATGTGGAACCAGTAAACAGGACAGAAGTCACCTATGGGGCTCCTGCTTCTGATCTGGCCAGTCCTCAATGTGAGGAGGGGCTGCCCATTCAGCTCTTTTCTGAATCCCCAATTCCGCCTCCCATCTGTCTCCTCTTTCCAAACTCCTCTCCGCCTTTTCCTTGGGGCTCCACGGGAAGGCCCTGAGGAAACTGATGCATAGAATAAAAAGCTTGTCTGCATACTGCTTGTGCTCTGACTAGTATCTTTGAGGGCCCGGGATCCCCAGACATCTTTCTTTCTCTAGCTCTGTAGGAGCTCTGTCTCCTCGTCTCCTCAAGGGCTGGGTGCTTTGAGACCCAGTGGGCTTTGAGTGCAGGCTCCACCCCCATCACGCCATGTGACTTGGAGCAATCAGGCACCCGTGAGCCTCAGTTTTCTCATCTGGAAAATGGGACTAATGATCCCTCCTCTGCTTACCTCAAATGATACTCAATGTGATTGAACTTTGAGAATAGGGAGAACTACACAAAATTATTCTGTGACCATTTTGCCCATTTCCTGCCATTGACCAAGGGAAAAAAAATCCCTAACCGTGGCATCTGAATGTTGAAAGCAAAGTGTACAGTGTAGGATCTCATCAGCAGTCCTTTGAAACTTTAAGTAATCAATATCCTCTACCAGCGTCAGTCCACTCTCGGTTTTTGTGTCATAGTGCTGTAACAGACTGGCTCAGGCCCAGGCCTAGTCTTCTCTTTCCCCAAGCAATTTGCTTACCCTTGCCTGGCTCCCTGACTCTGCCCTGTGTTAGAGTTAGCCATCTTGCTTAAAATGGAAGTGAGGTGCCTGGCTTTTGGCTACCGTAAAGCTCTCCTGGATGGTGAGTTTTCTGGACTCGGCCTGATGATGCCTGGCAGTAGCAGCTTACACAGTTTGGCCCATGGCCCCCTATTCCATTCCTCTTGGGTGAATGCCACTCAGTCCTTGTGATTTACCTGCATTGACTTGTCAGTTCAGTCTAGAACATCCTGCATATTCACCAGTATGATCAGCTGCCTCTGCCTGGGTGCCTGCCTCTGGTGATATCTGTACCCAGTAGGGCAAAGAAAGGCTTCCATTCCTCTTGTCTCTTACTTCTCTGGGCCTGAGGTGACATCTTCCCTGAACCCTCGTAGGGTGTTTTTATTCTGGCTTCCATGAAAAAAACAAAACAAAACAAAACAAAACAAAACAAAACAAAACAAAACAAAACAAAACAAAACAAAACAAAACATGTGTTCCTACCTAAGGCAGCCAGAGGACTAGCTTGGGCCCCAACACCTAGCCTCTGTGCACCTGGGCACTGATTTGTGATAGTGTGCACATTCCTGCTGAAGTGTCACATTCAATACCTACACAATGAGGGTAAAGGCTTCTAGGACTGAGAAAAGCTTGCTGTGCCTGAGCGGCTACCTGGTCCTACTTCTGTGAGCTTCTTGCTTCTTTTAGCCTTCACAGGGCTGCTTGTGCACAGAGCTTCCAGCCAAATGGCAGATGCAGCATGGTTGGGCAGAAAGTAGTGGGGTAGGTGGGAGACAGGCCAGACCAACACACTAGATCTGGGGTCCCCAACCCCTGGGCCACAGACGGATACTGGTCTGAGGACTGAGGTCTGTTAGGAACCAGGTTGCACAGCACGAGGTGAGCGGCGATGGAGCCAAGCTTCATTCTGCTCATCACTCACCTTACAGCCTGAGCTCCACCCCCAGGCCCGCCCCTATCCCAGCCAAATCTGTGGAAAAATTGTCTTCCAAGAAACTGGTCCCTGGTGCCACAAAGGTTGGGGATCGCTTCCTAGATGAATTTGTGAATGTGACTGAACACCGTACACTGGAGGGCTACACAGAATTGTTCTCTGCCAAACATTTTTGCCCATTTCCTATGTCTGAGCAAACAATGCCCTAGATTTCATGACATCTCAATGTTTAACAGTAAGTTTACAGTGTAGGATCTTGTCAACAGTTCTTTGAAAGTCTATGTAATTTTTCTAGTTGGGCGAGCTACTTAAACTCTGCGAACATAGGTCTCCTCATCTGCAAGACTGGTGGATGTCATGGGGAGTGGGCAGTTGGATCTACCCAAGCTGCTTTGGGCCCAGGCCTGCAGTTCGTGGTATAGAGATCAAAGCCTCAAGCTGATGTCAAGACCTGTAGCACACTGGACATGCAGTTACAGAAGACCTAGGGTGATAGGGATGGGGGTGCGAGGTCCAGGGCACTGAGAAGAGATGGCATATTCTGACAGGAGATCAGGACCCCCTTCCTTCGCTGCCCCTCTGCCATGGAGGCCTTGGTCTTTCCTTCAGCTCCATGTGGCATTGGCTGCAAAAAAAAAAAAAAAACCACCTGGCAGGTAGGAACTGTGCAAGCCGACATGAAGAAGAGAGGGGGGAAAAGCTTTATTTGCAAAGAATAAACCATTAATTTACACAAACTTACATCCCCGTTTATATACACTATGTATAGCCTATATACACAGTATCTCACACTGGATGCTGACCCCCAAAGCAGCACTGGCCTGCTCCAGGTCATTCTCACAACACAGCCCACCCCCGACCCCAGCCGGAAGCTTTTTAAATAAAGAAATGACACACTGCAACTCCCCTTGGAGAGTGCCCTGACACAGATTTAAATAAAAAAGATCCGGTCCCTTCTTTGTGCTCATATGGCCTAGGGGAACCTCCAGGCAGGAACGGGACCTGAGGCAGCATCATGGTGGCTTCAGGACTTCCTGGTGTTAGGCCAGTGCAGAACTTTCTAGATCAGAGGCTGGAGCTGGGAGAGCACCTTAAAGGGGGGAAAGAGCTCTGATTAAGGCTGAGCCCTGCTCTCCCTGCCTGGCAGAGCTCCTGAAGGGGGCCAAGCACTTCCGGCCTTGAGTCTGGGGGTGGAAGAAAGAAGGGGGCTGTGCGGGACAGGAACATTCTGTCCCTCCACCTCTGCTGAGTCTGCCAGTCCCAACTCCACCTTGGGTGGGTCACCTTCCTTGCCTTTCGGCCTCAGTTTCTACTTGTGTAACAAGGGGCAGAATGTAGGCTGGGCAGGATTCCCTCCAAAGGCTGTCCTGGCTTTAAATCTCTCTGAATTGATTTGCATCCACCAAAAGTTCCATAAAACACACGTTCTCACGTGTGGATGCTAGTCTTTTTCATCTCCACAGTTCCTAGTGTTTCTTGCTCAGCAGAAGAAATTTGACTCAGGATGGATGAAGGGGCAGATGAGGCTAAGACTTTATTTCCCAAGGAACCTATAACTGAGCAGCCCGACAGCTGACTTAGGTGCCAGCCTTGGCCTTTGAAGCCCAAGCTGCTGGCAAAAGCTCCTGCCATGTGACTCTCCTTCAAACCTGTCACCCACCTGCTCACAAGTGTCCTTGTCCTATTCCCCATGCTAGATTTTGCCTTCCTGTAAATTCCTGTCAGCATAATTCCAAATGGCCAATCTATGTCCATATTCTCTTATTAGTAAATTGCTTCACTACTTTGCCAGTGAACTTCGCTGCAACAGGGCTCCCCAGCTACCTATTGCTTCCCTCTTCATGCCCTTCCCTCTAGGGTTCCTTATGCATCATGGGTTTGTTTGACCTCCTACCCCCCCATAATCCCTTCCATATCAGGAGAATAGGACAGGTATCCGACTGCCCTTTAGGATTATAGCTTTTTGGCTTTGGGACCAGCCTGCATGCCTCCCTCCTTCCCTGAGAGATCCTGGTGGTAGAGTTCTCTGTGGTGTGGTAGAAAGAGGTAGGGAGTCCCTTGGTAGGTGTGGGAAGTGGTCAGCTCCTATAATCCAACTGTAGCATCAACAAAAAAGTCCCCTTGCAGCAGGGGCTCTGTATCTCATGCTTGCTTGGTTCATGGCTGGGTGAAAGGACACAAGGGTGACACATCAGCTCTTGTGGGCACTGGAGGCCTGCTGCTTGGATGTGGTGCCAAGACAGTTCTGAATGCAACAGCTCTAAAGCTGATGGCTGCCTCCCACAGAAACAGCCTCCCCTTTTGCCACAGAGTCTCTGGCAGCCAGGAGAATGGGCATCACCATTAGGGAATGAAAAGGGGCTTCTCTGGGTTTCTCCCTATAACCCACAAGCATTTGCGGCACATGGTACCATTATCATCGGTTTTCTCAGGACCGCAAATTCAATGCAAAGCTGTGGCTCAATGGAATCATTTTGGAGTCAGGCCTGGTGAAAGGAAGCCCCAGGCTGGTGAGTTCAGTACGGTGAGATCCTGGTCGAAGCACTTAACTTCTCTGAGCCTTGTCTAAACGCTAGGATTTGTGATTTTATTAAAGGAGATGGTAAGAGAGAAAGTACCTTTCCAGTTTGAAGGAGGAATTTTCATCTGTTCTTGCTGCAGTGGAGGGACGAGCAAGACACTTAGTAGGAAACAAGGCCAGACATATGCCTCAGGCTCACTTCCCTGGGGGTTGCAGGGCTCTTATTAAGCAACCAGGCTGCGTGGTTGCTTAGAAAGAGAAGGCACAGCTGAGACATGTGTATATGTCATTCTTGGTCAATTTCAGCTGCCTGAAGGAGCTCATTCTCTATCTCCTCAAAAGGAAACATGTTGCAGCAGCAAGAGTAGCAGACTTTCCAAGACTGGCCCTCTCAGCTTGTGGCTGAACCCGGTACCCAGGCACCAGGCTGGGCCTGGGCATTTAGAAATAAGGCCTTAGCACGGTCCTACCATATGGCCTGGTGGGAGGCTCAGGAAAGTGGCAACGACAGGGCAGAGCTCTGCCCCAAGGCCTAGATGCCAGGTCCTTCAGGGTCTCGATGCAGAGGAGCGGGCCTGGGATCCATGCTGATGCTGCTGCACTGTGGCCTTCTGAAGCCAGAACAAGGAAATTCTGGGTGAGCAGGGCACTGGTGGCTGTGCTTTCAGATAGGGCCTGGGCCAATGCCCACTTGGCTTGCAGAAAACTTGAAAAAATACCCCATTTTATCTGCCTTGCGGATGCCCAGGGGCAAGTTGGGAGTTGGGCATCTTAGTTGGCTATTAAAGCAGCTGCCTAAATACTGACATTGGAAGGGACTTCTGGAGATGTTGGGACTGATGCTTTGCCCCCAGACACAACCTTGACTAGATGAAAATTTGTGTTGCTTGACAAATGGAAGGTTCTGTTTGTGCCACAGTATCCAGAGAGTATCTCAGACTCATGTAAGCATAGGTCCCAGCTTAGGCGCCTGTCTCAAACAGAGGTAGGCCCTGTGGAGAAAGACACAGGAGGGTCTAGCCAGGCTGGGGAAGGGTGGGTGGGAGAGCAACTGGGAGGGGACCCAGGGTGTTTTCTGAGCCTAAAGCACAGCTGTAAACAAAGTGAAAGACATTTTGCCCCAAGTCTGGCTCCAGGTTCTTCTGCAGGCAAGTTTGCGGCCATTCCTTGCACTCACTTCAAGGAGGAGCAAACCTCCTGTTCCCAAAGGCTGGCAAGCTGCTGACCTGGCTCTCCACCTGAGTGGGAAGAGCTCTCTGACCCTCTGGCTGGCTGCAGTGTGCCACAGCAAGAAAGCTTCCACTGGCTGGGTCGCCAGCCTGGTGGTAGGCTTCTCCCCCTTGGTCTCTGCTACAAGCACTGGCCTTTCCCCTCCCTGCCCCTCTCCTTAGGCTGCAACAGTCCCCTCTGGCTCTACCCCCACCCAAGAGAAGCAGCAGCCAGCCTTGGGGTCGGAAGTTTGCCCCCACAGTCTGGAGCACACCTCCGCTTCCTCTCGCCTGCTGTCCTGGACCTTCCATTTAGTGCAACAAACAGTAACTGCCAACAGGGACCTTGAGGTGGAAGAGACAGCGCTGTAAGGCAGTCCACGTGGAGACAAGGAAGACAGTTCTGATTTGCGTAAACCCTGGAACTCCATCAACTGTCCTGTAAGCTCAAGGTCATTCTGGCCAGGCAAGCAGACCCTGCCACGCTGGAGTCACTGGGGAATAAATAGCAGTGGGGCATTTCTCTCTGCAGCTGCCACACCCATATGCCTCACTCCACAGCAGCACTTAAGAGCTTCTGCGGGGAGGTCCCAGCTTTCAAACCTGGGATGGGGACATGGGCAGGGGCAAAACAGGGGGAATCTAGGATGCAGGGGCCTCGCCCAGCCTGATGGCCCCGAAGAAGGTGGTGTGCTTGCTCATGTTGATGGAGATGTCGGCATGCACCATCTTCACAGCAATCTTCTGCCGTGCTTTGAGGAGGCAGACACCCGCTGTGTAGCAGGTGTTGTAGTTGGTCTTTCCTGTCTCGATGCTGCGGGTGCACTGCAGAAAGGGCTTCTCGTCCACCACTACCTCATAGCTGGCAAAGTCGGTGAAGTTGATGTAGTACACCTGGGTGAGAGGCAATGAGAAGAGATTGGGGGAGAGAGGAAGGAGGGCGGGGACCTTCTCAGAAGAGCTTGTAGGCCCACTTGTAGGCCCACTAGTTGGTTGACAGGAAAGGTGGAGGCGACAGGCTTAGAGTCTGTGCTTCCCCCACACTGCCATGGGGCTCAGATGGCCGAGCCAATCTTTCTTGCAATAGCATACCAGCTGTAAGCTCTAAGGGTAAAAGTGTACCTTATTGGCCTCCCACCCCCTGCCGGGCATGAAGCCCCAGGCTGTGCACGCACACAGGGGGCTCAGTCAGTGCAGCAGACACGTGTGAATACAAACTAGCTTCCAGTCCCAGGGGCTATTTGTGGATAAAGGGAGAGGCCACTGAGCTCCCAGAGAGGGGACAGTGACAACTCACCCTTTCTTCAGCCCTTTTGCAACCAGCCCCCGCCCCTGCTGTGTTTTGCTCACATCCTCACTGGGTCCCTTGGCCCCCCTGCCTGATGTCTGAGGAAACAGATGCAGAGAGGTGGAAAGGTCTCCACCACTAATGAGATGAGGAATTTGGAAGGCAAAACCCAGCCCCCTAACTTTACTTTGTGGCTGGAAGACAGTGTGAGCCTGTGTTCAAAGGCCAGGTGTCAGGGGGATTTTCCCATTTTGTACAGTGTCCGAAGCCTGAGGTGAGTCCCAATTCTCTCCTAGGCCTGGGAAGTTCATTTGTTTATCCTTCACTAGCAAGCTTTGATCTGCCCCACCCCGGCTTCGGACAGATGCCCCATAGGACATTGGGATTACACCCACCTGTCCCTTTGGGATCATGGCCGTCATCTGTCTCCCTAACTCATTTTATCAAACATTGTTCCCCCTATCAGCTCTTTCGCAGGGAGCAGTGAATTCAGGTGCCACCCAATTTCTTGGTCAGCACCGTCTGTGCCAGGGTGCTTGGTGGAGCAAATGCTTGTTAACCCACCTTCTCTGGCCACTCCCCTGTGAGGCCCTTCTGCTAGATCCACAGTCCTGTCCATCTGCCTGCTTGCTGCCCACCCCACAGAAGCCCCAACCTCGGGGCTCATCTATCTCTAGCTCTGAGGAGCCATCTGGTGGAGGCAATAAGCAGGTGTGTGGGAGTAGGATAGCAGACCCGGTGACTGGGCCCAGACAGGACAAGGATAAAAACAGAGGGAGAAAAGGGCTGGAATAATGACAGCAGGAAGGAGGGCAAGAATAGCAGAAACAGAAAGCTAAAGAAACAAATGGGAGAAAAAGGAAGGAAGGATAGTCAGAAAATGCCTTTGAAGCAGACAGAAAGTACACAGGAGCCCTGTTCATTTCAAAGCTGGCAGTGTGGGGGCGGGGAGCGGTTCTCAGCAGCCCTGGAAGGGCAGGACTGAGCCAGAGTTCAAGTTTGGCAGTAGCATCAAACAGGTTGAGGGGCGGGGGTGGGGAGGGGAGAATAAGGGTCCAGGGCGCTGTAGGATGGGATTGGATGGCAGACTGTTGGAGGGGGCTCTTTTCAGTCTCTCAATGGTATCTGGCTAGGAAAAGCTCCCAAACAGCCCCTTTCTTTCCTTTGTTTAACTCCCTCCCAGGGCAATTGTTCCCAGCCCCCTCACCCGCCAAAGCAAAAAGTTAGCCATTGGCTGGTCTTGGCTGGCTCCACAGTGCCCCTATGTGGCTTGCACCGGATCTGCATTCTGGATATAAGAAGAGTTAGGCCTGAGACCGTACTCACTTCTACCTGACTATAGATGAAGTAGGTGCCGTCCACCAGTACCTCCAGCTCCCCACTGCGGGGATGTAGCTTAAACACCTTGGGGTTCATAGTGATGCGAGACCAGTCATTGAGCACTCCACCTGAAAGATCTCAGTATGAGAGAAGGGCAGTCACTCAGTACGTGTCAGAAGAATCTGGACAATAGAAACAAGAGATCTCAAACATGCACAACCCCCACCCCTATCCCAATGCAACTTGGGAAGCCCAGGAGACCTGAGCTGTAAGAACAGCATTTGGAAGCACATAAAAGTTCTGTTTGTAAAGCAACTTGCTAGGCTGGCTTTAGGCCCCCCCCCCCCCGGTCTGTCTCCCTCTTTCCTTCCCTGACCGCCCCCTTCCCCATCTGGAATGGTCTTTCACCAACACCTCCTAACTGGAACTGGGGGTGGGCAGTAAGAGAGTGGGCACACTGACCTATTTCCTTTGTTGTCTTGGTGCCTGCACAGGCAAAATTCAGACACTGAGTGGCAGGCTAGCTCTTATTATTCAATTTTACTTCACCAGCCACAACTCCTAAATCCCCCTATTGTCTTATAGGTCCATAGATTTTTCTCCTTCTCTGTAAGAGACTCCTCCACATCCACTCCTTTCTAGAAAGCCTTGCCGGGCTCCCAGGAAACTGCTTAGCATAAGGGATTATCTCCCTGGAGAACCTTAGGGATCAGGGTGTGTCAGACCTCATAGCAACCAGAGAGGGTGACCGTCAGTAATAAGGCTCCACAGGGGAGACGGGGGTTGACAAGAGGTAGGGGCAGACCACCAGCAGCATCAGAACCAGCCGTGGGGAAAGTGAGGGTGTCTGGGAGCTGGGGCACCCCCGGCAGTGCTTCTGTCTCTCAGCTCAGCCCACTCAGGGTGGAGGGGTCATCGCACCGCCCTGGCTGGACACAGGAAACCAGCACACGAGTGCGGAGGAAGAGCTTCCCTTTCCATCTGGCAGAAAGAGGGGGTGCCTTCCACCCTGAAAACTGTCCATTCTCCACCCAAGAAAAGACATTTTGAATACCCATCCTCGGCTAGACTCAGAAGGTGTGAGGAAACTGCCCTTCTGGAAAAGGCAGCAATTGCCCCTTGAAGTGATAAGTAGATGAGAAAGGAGTTAGGAGGAGAAGCCCTGGCCCAGCCGCTTCAAGACTGCTCTGCATGATGGCCCCCCCCCCCCCGCCTCCCTGGCCCATCTCCTCCCAGTGGAACTAAAGATCAGCATAGACTGCTACTGGGGACTGGCCTAGAGGGGCTGGGACTAAACTTGTGATGTGGCAGTTAGTGGGAGCAAAATCAGTAGCTTCTGGCACAGAATAAACACGGAGGCCACCCATGCGGAAACCCAAACATGTCTATTTCCTGCCTGTCTCAGTCCTCCCTGGACAGATAGTGGTTATGGTTCCCTACCACAGCCCTGGGGCCCAAGGCACCTGGTCCCCACAGGACCACTTGGGCTTTGGTGCCATTTTGCTCTGATGTGTATTTCTGAGGCTATTAAGTCAGGCACCCAGGTGGCAGCGCAGCATGTAGCTGGGCCCAGTCCTTAAGAAAGCTTGGCCATGCCCTGGCTGGTGTGTCTCAGTGAACTGAGCACCAGCCTGAGAACCAAAAGGTCTCTGGTTCAATTCTCAGTCAGGGCACATGCCTGGGTTGTGGGCCAGGTCCCCAGTAGGGGGCATGTGAGAGGCAGCCACACATGGATGGTTCTTTCCCTTCCTCTCTCTCTAAAAAATAAAATAAAATAAATAATCTTTAGAAAGAAAAAAGAAAGGAAGCTCGGCCCAGCCAGTTCAGGACTGGGGCTGGGCTCTTCTAAGCTGTCCTCATTGTAGCAGGTTTCTGAACCTTCCTTTCCTGTACCTGCACTCACAGCCCTTCTTTCCCCCTCCAAGCTCTGTAAGCATCTGGCACCTTGGCTGGCCTGCTGCTTCCCAAGGCTCCTGGGTGTTCATGCATTTCAGCTGTGTGCACTCTGGGGACTGGCCATTATTTCAAAGGACCATTCTTTAATGAATGTCCGTGTCTCTCTCTTCAGGGAAGAAAATAATCCTGCTCATTCGGTGGAGCACACGCACATAGCACAGTGGAAAGGGTCAGAGAGATGCAGTTTTGAATCCCAGCTCCTGAACTAACTGAAATCTTGGGCCAATTAAATAACCTCTCTGAGCTTTAGCTTCAGTCTGTAAGAAGGAGCTAATACCTACCTCACAGGGTTGTTGTGAGGATCAAATAAAATAAAAGACAAAGAAAGCGAGTTGAAAATTCCCAAGGACTATACAAATATAAAGCAGCAGGATTTCTTATGGTATTACTCAATCTCCCAGGGACTCTGTTTCCCCAGTTTTTAAAAGCAGGGATTACATTAAATCAGTGTTTCTGAACCTCCTTAAGCCCATTTTCCCTTTCTGTAGACACTAGCATTGCACATTTCCCGGAGAGTGTATGTAACATGCCGTCTGCCTCCCTGTGCAGAGACATCAGGTGGGAATTTACATTTATGTAGTTTTCCCTTCTCTGATTTGCACTGTGAAAATGTTGATTAAACTCCATATATCCCCTCCGGGTGACTCCGATGGAACCTCTATCTCCCAACAATTCTCGGTCTACATGGTGCTTCAAGTAAGTGCCTTTCAGCTTTCTGAGCAGTGTTTCTAATTGCCATTCGGGTGTAGCAACCAGTCCTGACCCAGGACAGACAGCAGAGGGCAACATGGAGTAAGGAACGGCCCTAGTGCTCTGGATACCTCAGGGCCCCTAGAGGAACTAGACTGGGTGATGATTTGGAAGCTGGGGGTAAGGTAGAGGGGAAGCTGCTCTTAGCGAGAGAGTCTCCTTGGACTCTTACCATTCTTGACTTGAATTGCGGACCCTTGGCCCTGCAGATGCACCACAGCTGGCTGGAAGGATAAGAAGGATAGAGAGAGGAGTCACGGTGAGAAATGACAGCCCACTCAGCCACCAGTTTCCATGTTTCCACCTCTGACTTCCAATTTCCTTTTGGATTCCAATTCTGATCCTTCTTCCCTGTCTTGGGATGCTAGTGACCACAGTAAGATTAGGGGGGTGCCATATAATTTTGTAGTTCAGCCACTTCCTAGTTCTGTGACCGCAGCCACATGTAGTAGTACCTCGGAGCCTCATTTCCCTAACTGTAAAATGGGAATTAGAAGAATCCCGTTGGCTTCCCTCACAGGGATGTCTGAAGATCAAATGAGGTGATGGATATAAAATTGCCTTGGAAGCCATCAAGCACTGTGCAGCTGTGCAGATTTAACTGTGGCCAAACAGCTGTAGTGCGGGAGGCCGAGATGAGACAAGGCAGGGCAGTAGAACCTGCCAATAGAGACAGATTAGGAAGCTCAAAGACTAGGGAGGAGCCCTGCAGACCGTTAAGGCAGAAAGGAGCCCGGGCTGGCCTTGGCCTGGAGCTGGTTGGCTGATTGTCAAGGACATACTCTTCAACTTCTAAGCTCCTGATCCCTGGCGGTCTGAGTGCTGACAAGGTGTCTGGGGTGGCTGGGGGAGTGGGAGGCCCAGGTGAACAACGCCTGTCTGGCGGCCCATTTTAGCTGCCTGCTGTGTGTAGATATGGGACCCTCTATCTCCTGTGCAGTGGGGAGAAACGGGCAGGGAGCGGGAAGATGGGAAGACTGGATTCCCTTAACTCAAGGCAGGCCCCAGAGAAAAGATTTGCTATTCCTGGAGCTGAGACGGGGCTGTGAGTGAACAACCTCAAAACCTTCAGGGTATCCTCACAAAATAAAGCCTGGCAAATTTAACACAGAGTGCACTGAGAGGTGGCCATAGCCTGTGGCTTTCCCCCCTCCCTGGGATGGGAGCAATTCTCAGCCAACCTGGTTTTCTCGAGTTCCAGCTTTATCAGCAGCACCTGCAAAACAGGATAGGACAATTAGGGGCAAGCCTTGTCTCCCGGCCTTCCTCCTCCCCGTGCTAGCCTGAGGAGGGAGCCTTGTGATGGGAGAGGACACTCCTTCTGTCTCACTTGTCCCTGACCTGTATCTCCAGAGGACCTGGCGCCCAGCAGGGAAAGTGGCCTCTTGCCAATGCTGGCCCAAGGCAAGTCCCACTGAGAACCCACAGACATGGATGAGAGCTTTCCTGTCACTGTGTGACTCCAAGACCATGCTGTTTGCTTCTTTTGACTTTTGCTTCCCTTCCATTAGTTTTCTTGGTAAAGTGCATCACCATTTGGAATTATCTTGCATCTATACTTGTCTCCCCCCTCCTCTAGGACATAAACTACATGAGAACAGGGACTACTGATCAGTATATCTCTTACATATAGAAAGCACTCAATTAATATTCCTGGAAAGACTGAATTTAAAAAAATCTGCCAACTCCATGTCCTGCAGCCATGGTAGTACTAATTAGCCCCATCTGAACTGAGTCAAAGGATCTGAATCCTGCTGCAGAATTCTTGGACCCAAATGAGTCAGCGACAAAGAGTCCATTTGTTTAAAACCCTATGATACAGCCCTGGCCAGTGTGGCTCAGTGGACTGATCACTGGCCTGTGAACTGAAAGGTTGCCAGTTTGATCCCCAGTCAGGGCACATGCCTGGGTTGTGGGCCAGCTCCCCAGTAGGGAGTGTGCGAGAGACAACTGATTGGTGTATGTCTCACACATTGACATTTCTCTACCTTTCTCTTTCTCTCTCCCTTCCCCTCTGTCTAAAAATAAATAAAATCTTTAACCCTTTATGAACCCCCCCACACACAACTGTACGATATAGGAGGAGAGGGAAATAACATGTGACTTAAAATCAGGCAGTTTGAGTCCTGTTAAGTCCAATCAGGCAGGTTTGGATCTGTATCTCAACCTCTTGGGTGCCCTTCTGGGCCCAAAGGGAAAGAGGCAAAGGGATTAAATGCTATTTTAATGGGCAATAAGGTGGGGAATGATGTAGTGCAAGGAGTGCTTGGTTCTTCCCCAGGACACTGACAGTTCCTGTGTTTGCTCCTTCCACAGCTATCAGTGACTACCTATATGAGAAGGGCACTTTAGACTGCATGGGACAGGACTGTTCTAAGGTTGGTATCTCATCCAGACTGCAACATCCTTCCCCATACCAGCATCAGCACAGGAGTTAGATGCTGGAAATCAGAGCAGACCCGATCCATCTCCTGCAAGAACTTCAGTGAACCCTCAAGGGCCTCTGTCTCAGGCTTATAGGAGTTTCCTGGCTCACTACAGAGAGGCGAAGAGTAAGAGCAAGTCAGACCCTACTGGCTTGTTTAATCTCTAGTTTTACACTGAGCCAGGAGACCTGAATTTCTTATTGCACACAACCACCACCAGCCCCAATTGATACCGCTTTCAGGAACACCCAGCCCTGCTCTATTAAAGTGCTGGTAAAGGAGCCCTTGGCTGGTGTTGCTCAGTGGACTGAGTGCCAGCCTGCAAACCAAGACCCTTGGGTTCACCAGTTCTATTCCCAATCAGGGCACATGCCTGGGTTGCGGGCCAGTTTCCCAGTAGAGGGCATGTGAGAGGCAACCACCCATTGATGTTTCTCTCTCTTTCTCCCTCCCTTCACCTCTGTCTAAAAAAATAAATACACAACATCTTACAAAAAATGAAGTGCTTGTAAAGGAGCCTGGGGAAGGGTGGAGGACCAGGAACTCACCAGAAGGTCCCTGGAGGCCAGGGGGTCCTTGAGGGCCAGGAGGACCTGGAGGGCCAGGTGGTCCCATAACTGTTGTTCCTGGAATTCCAGGAATCCCTGGAATCCCTGGGGGTCCCTGGGGTCCCGGAGGTCCTGGAGGTCCTGGGGGCCCATTTGGCCCAGGAGGTCCCGCCTTCTTTCCTGAAAGACAAGATTCAGTGTCACATTTGCAGGTACTGCCTGAGAATGCACTGGCAGTTCTGCGGACTTCCAATGTCAAAAAGTCAGCCCTCTGGGAATTTTTGCTATTAAAGAGGTGACCACCTCTATCACCCCCACCCCACTCCTCTCCTCTCTCATGAATAATCATTTTCAGAGTTGGGTTGAATATAATGAAAATAAATAGCTCTCAAGGAGCTCAGTGAGGCGAAGAAAAACAGTGACAGGAAAGTAGAAGTGCTACATTTGTGGTAAGGAAAAAAGTGCCAAAGAGGCCAGGAAAGGCTTCAAAAAAGTGGGGACATTTCAGCTGAGTCCAAAGGAGCTCAACTGCCAAGTGACCAGACCTATGGGTTACTTTTTAGACTCCTGAGATTTGGGCTATTGTTGAAGACAATGGCGTTCATATTTACATCACAGTTTGGTGGACTTGATGCAGATAGAAGAGGAAGCTAGGAGGACAGTCTGCTCTGAGCAACCTCAGCTCCATGAAGGTTTCCCCATAGGAGTCAGAGGTACAGGCACTGGGCAGGTGGGGCACAGGGGAAGTGCTCACTGGGAATAAGGATTGGGACACAGTTTGGGAGGTGAGAGGTTGGGGAGGGAGAGAGCCTTGGCCAAGTGCCTCAGTTGGTTGGAGTGTCATCCTATACACCAAAAGGTTGCAGCATTGATTCCTGGTCGGGGTATGTATGGGAGGCAACCAATCTATGTTTCTCTCTCACATCAATGTTCCTTTTTCTCTCTCTCCCTCCCTCCCTTCCCCTCTCTCTAAAATCAGTAAAAAACATCCATGGGTGAGGATTAACAAAAAGAGAGAGACAGAGAGAGGGAGGGAAGGGGTAGGGGAGAGACAAACAAGGAAAGAAGATGTGGAGAGTAGAGAGCACTGAGGAGGAGGCAGCAGATCTTGCTTTCTCTTCTCAGCTGAGCTCTCTAAACCCTATCTTTAAAGGTCTCTGGGAAAGGGAATTCTGCACACTCCCTTGGCAACGCGGTCCAATGTTTATCACCCCTTACTGTTAGGAAGTTTTTCTGTATATTTAACTGAAATCTGTTCTGTGGCAGTTTAAGCTCTTATTCCATTTTTCATGTAGACACAAAAGAATAGTTACCATCAGCCATATAGTAGCCCACATATTCTCAAAGACACCATCACCCACCAACCTCCATTTTTATAGGCTAAATAGTCCAGCTTTCCAGAGTCTTTCCACAGAGCCCCTATTCTTGAATGTACAATGTTATTGATATTAATCAAGCCCACCAACTCTTCCCTTTTCTTCCTCACTATCCTTTCAGCGCAGCCTCGATCCTCCTATTCCATATTGCACTCCTTCTAACAGTCCTGTCAAGATGCAGTTAGGTTCACTGGGTCCTAACTGTGGTCTTGAACCCACAACTGCAGCTCCTTCTGTTTAATCCTGTGCAGCCCAATTCCGGCACTGCAGGTGGTCGAATATGGGCACCTCCTTCCTCCCTTTACAGCTTTCTGAAAATTTTATGGAAGTCTTGGGCCTGAAAGCCTTTTATCAGACATCACCATGGTATCTTCACCTGTGGTACTTTCTTAGTTTGAAACAGAACCCTCTGGAGTCTCACTTAAATAATGCCTTACTGACTCCAATTCTCTGCTCCCCAGATCCCAAGGCAGGAGAATCCTTTCTTGATTTCTCCTGTCCTACCTTTAAGAATAATGCTGCAGCTCTGACTGGTGTGGCTTGGTGGATTGAGTGCTGGCCTGCAAACCAAAGGGTTGCTGGTTCAATTTCCAGTCAGGGCACATGCCTGGGTTGCAGACCAGGTCCCCAGTGGGGGGCATGTGAGAAGCAACCACACACTGATGTTTCTCTCCCTCTCTTTCTCCCTCCCTTTCCCTCTCTCTAAAAATAAATAAATAAAATATTAAAAAAATGAACTGTTAAAAAAAAAAACAGAATAATGCTGCATGTTCACAAAACTGAATTCCCAGGGCCACTTGCTCAAAAGGCCAGGGATCCCACTCTAACCACATCTGCATTTGGAATGTAACAATGGTGTCGTGGTGGGGCCCTCTGCCTGGAATTGGCAGGAAGGAAGGGCCAGAGCTCTGCTCTCCTAGAAGAGTCCCTGGAGCCAAAAAGACCTGGAGGCAGGAGCTTAAGACTCTCCATTGTCCACAGCAGCAAAGTAGTAGGTCTTCCCAGTTTCCTGATCTAGCCAATTTGAAGATGCTGAACAGGAAAAGCCATCTCCCTTCGGATTTGGGCAGCTTCCAAGGAGGGCTTATTCAGCACCCCAGTTTCAATTCCAGCTAGTGTAGTGGAAAGAATGCAGAATCTGTAGTCAGGAGATAAGGCCATAAGCCCCCAAATCTGACATGGGCACATTCTGGGCAAATCCCTTCCTCTCATTGAGCCTTAGCTTCTCCATTGCAATTTCTCTCAGTTTCCTCACAAAACCGAGGTTCCTTAATGAGGAAGGACTTACCCTGGTGGCCGCCGGGAAACTGGCCTGGCCTGGCTGTAAGGTCTGCTTCTCTCTCATGGTTCTCTAGGCAGCATGGACACAGTGGATGGTGCCTGTTAGGCTGTGCTGTGTCCCTGAATTTCCAGGCCTGCTGGGGATTTTCAAGCTAGAGGGTGTTCTGCAGGCAATATAAACTCCAGTATCAAGGCTGTGAGTCTCCCATGATTGCTCAAGCAATTGTGGAAGAATTACAGCCAGAAACTCCTCCAGTCCGAGAGAAGTGTGGTTGCAGTGTCAACAGAGAACCATTCACTTAGGAAACGTTGGAAGGCATTTGGGGAAAAGCTCTTTTGTGGTCTAGTTCTATGGCTGGTGCCCTCTGCCGCTCAGCATCCAGGTTCAGGCAAGTGTGCTCCTCATACTTGCAGAGCTTTGGAAAGCTGGCCTAAGAGGAGCATGACCCCTGGACCCAGGAGACAGTTTGAGGATTGAATTCTTTCTGCAATTTCCTCACTTTAACAGGGCAATTCATGATGCAAAAGCCCAGAGACTTTTGTCCTTTGCAAGTTACCCTTTGTAGCCTTAGATGAAAAAATATATATACATTCTTTTCAAAGCTAATCTTCCAGAAAGGGTATTTTGCTAACCTTTCAGCAAAGTCCAAATTGCTGAAAGAACAACTAAAAGCAACCAAGCAAAAGGGTGTGTTGTGCCCATGCACATGCACAACAGATGGAGAGAGAACAAATTCCACTGAAGCAGGGAAATTAGCCATGCCTGGTGTGGCTCAGTGGATTGAACACCGGACTGTGAACCAAACAGTCCAGTTCGATTCCAGGTCAGGGCACATGCCTGGGTTGCATGCCAGGTCTCCAGTAGGGGGCACTCGAGAGGCAACCATACATTGATGTTTCTCTACTTCTCTTTCTCTCTCCCTCTGCCTCTTTGAAAATAAATAAAATGTTAAAAAAGAATGGAAATTAAATAAACAACTGAATTTAATCTCTTCAGGGATATGCCTATTCACTGATTCTATGGAAATCTTTGGGTCAAAGTCAATGTGTAAGGCCCCTGTACATTCTCCTCCCAGGAATGATCTGTATATAAGGTAGCAGTGGGGGAGGGGTGGGGGCAGTGGTTGAGTCCCTGCTGGAGGCACTGAAAGCTGAATTGTAGTTCCAGAGCTTCTAGCCTAGCCCCTTGTCTTCTGTTGCCACTGGCAGGGCTCACCTACTGGATAACATTGCAACTGGGTGCTGCTTTCCACCACAACCATGCCCAATCCTCTGCTAAACCATCATGTAGTTTTCCCTAAACATGTCACATTCTTTCATGCTTCTAAGAGATCTGAGTATGCTGTTCTCTTTGCTGGAGTGCCCTTCCCCTCATCCTTCAAAGTCCGGGTCAAATACTGCTTTCTCTGAGATGTGGCCCTTCACTCCCCCAAGGAAGACTACTTGTCCCACAGCATGCTGTTCATGCTTCTATGGTAGTTATTTTTTTATACTGTACTGTATTTATTCATGTGTACTTCCACAATTCTAACTACACTGGGAAATTTGGAAGGGAAGGAACCATTATTAGATCTACCCATGTCAGAATTGACACAGGTTTTTTTTAACATGATTCTATTTATTTATTTGTTTGTTTATTTATTTATTTATTTTTGGAGAGGGGAAGAGAAGAAGAAAGAGAGGAACAGAAACATCAATGTGTGGTTGCCTCTCATGCACCCCCTACTGGGACCTGGCCTGCAACCCAGGCATGCGCCCTGACTGGGAATTGAACCACAGACCCTTTGTTTTGCAGGCTAGCCCTCAATCCGCTGAGCCACACCAGCCAGGGCAGGAACCATTTTCTTCATCTCTGTATCTCTATTTCTGACAAACATCCGATGTTTATTTGTGACATAGTGAACAAGCAAGTAGAAAAAAGGAAAGTCACCCTTGGGCTAGAGTTAGGAGCAGAGGGTGTCCTTGTTCAAGCCAGGTGAGCATTCTGGCCTCGTAATAATTTCTGTGTTAAAGGAATGTGACCAGAGGTAAAAACTACGTGTTTGAAAGCCAAATATACTTTCTTCAAAGACAGACTATCTTGGTGAATGCCCAGGCTCTGCAGAGAAAGGTTTCCTCACTGACTCCAGAGAGCTGGCTATTTCCCAGCTTTGATCAGCTCAGGCATGCAGGAGGCCTGACCAGTCCTCAGCTTCATCACAGCAGGGATATGGGTTTGCCACATGGACCACAGTACCTCAAGCCACCAGAGGACCCTACTACTCAGAGAAATGGAAGGTGGCAGCTGAAGCCAGTCTTTTTGGCCTAGTCTGGCGATGCTAATGTATTCCATAAAGCTCCAGAAATCTTAACAGATGGAATCATTTCACTTACTTAAAACATTTTAATGAAACATCATTAATTTCACTCTATTTTCTTCCTAGGTCAGAACACAGAAACAAATAGGTATTGGGTTGGCCAAAAAGTTTGTTTAGTTTTTGCTGTAGGATGGTGCTAGTAGTATTTAGTTGTCTTTTGACTTCATTCAAAGCAATTTTGTTAGATTGTATTATGACAGCTGTCATAGCAGAGTGCATTGAAAAAACTTAACAAAATTGGTGAATTTTTGTGCAGCCATTTTAATACTGAAGATGGAAGAAAATACATAACATTTGCAGTGTATTATGCTTTATTATTTCAAGAAAGGTAAAAGTGCAACTGAAATGCAAAAAAAAAAAAAAAAAAGATTTGGGTAGTGAATGGAGAAGGTGCTGTGACTGATCAAATGTGCCAAAAGTGGTTTGCAAAGTTTCTTGTACTCTTGACATTTTGGCCAAATAATTCTTTGCTGTGGAGCTAGCTATCTTGTGCATTGGATGATGTTTAGCAGCATCCCCAGCCTCTGCCCACTAGAAGCCAATAGTGGGAGATATACAATGTACTCAAAATATCCAAATCAATAAAGACATTGGTAGAAACAAAAAATGTGTCTTTTATTTTATGGAAAAACATAATGGACTTTGTGACCAATGCAATACTTAGAACTGGTTTCACAGCAGGTTCTTTCAGTCCTCAGGAGCGAACTGGGTTGCCTGGCCCTATACCGTGGAACCTGTTCAGACTGGGTTTTCCTCCAGTGAAAGTCCTCAAGCCCTCGCACAAGTCCTTGAACCAGGCCTGTGGTGAGTAAACAAGAGCCTTACTGACACAGCAAATGAATCTGCTCAATAGAGCTTCTTTGAAAAGGCTAAAAAGATCAGACTATGACTCCAGCCTAGTTTTTCCATCACAAAGAAAATGATAGTGAAATCCTGAAGTAAGTAATGCCTTTCCTCACTACCTGGGAAAAAGAATAGGTAAAACTTTTAGGCCAAGAAATAGGCTATTCCTGGCTGGTCTGGCTCAGTGGATTGAGTGCCAGCCTGTGAACCAAAGGGTGTCTGGTTTGATTCCCAGTTAGGGCACATGCCTGGGTTGCAGGCCAGGTCCCCAGTAGGGGGCATGCGAGAGGCAACACAAGTTGATATTTCTCTTCCTCTTTTTCTCCCTCCCTTCCCCTCTCTCTAAAAATAAATAAAATCTTCAAAAGTTAAATAAAAAAAGAAATAGGGTACTGATATCTCTCAGGAAGTAGTATATCTGGTCCTGACAAGCTACCTCGGGACTTCATTCATACCTGATCACTGACTTGATAATAGAAGGGGGGAAAAAGAGAAAAAAGAAGGGCAGGGGAAAGAGCAAGGAAGAATAAAGGAAAGAGACAGAAACTGAATTGTACAGAAGAAGGAGCAAGAAAGACAAACAAAACCAACTTTCATATATTGCCAGAGAAGCAGCTCTGTCTTTCATCGATCATTACTGCTCCCTTTGGAAGCTACAAACACTTAAGAAGGCCCCATGGGACTGAATAAAATAGTGGACCACCAGCATCGAAAGACTAAAACATAAAAACCCAACTAGCTGGATACGGTTTTCTTCTCCTGCCCAAGTACTAAGTACTAACCAGGCCCGACCCTGCTTAGCTTCCAAGATCAGACAAGATCAGGCATGTTCAGTATGGTGTGGTCATAGATGGTTTTCCTTCTAATTTTAGAAAAGACATGACATAACAGCAATTTTTAAAAATCAAATCAGGAACTTAACTCACCCTTTTTCTTGTTTTTAACTGGACCTGTTACAAAGAGAAAATGGAAAATTAAGTCACTGGAAATTAACAGAAAAGGTTTACTCTTTAAGACAGTCACAGGAAGGACCCCAAGACACTGCCAATTTGAGGGAGCCCCACACCACCAATCAGGTAATCGTCAAGGTGTCTCCCAACCATCCAATTCTCCCCACCATCTGTTTCCGACTGTTATTCTGCCTGTTGTGAACAAGAAAGTTACAAGGAAGATTATTTCCTAGGGAGAAAAATGTCTTTCAGGCTGCCTTTGCAGTGAGTGAATGGCTGCTTCTCCATAGAGCTGAGATGCCCAGAAATGCAGCACTCAACAATCTTAGGACGGCATTCCAATAAATCTGCGAGTCCTGAGATTGATGAGTCATGCATTCAGGTGAGGAACTGAAGTCTCATGGGTCGAATCTGGAAGGAAAAAAAGGGTCATTTTCACGGAAGGAGCAGAGTGGCAGCAGTTTATGCTTTTTAGTCACTTCCTTATCGTGATTGAAATCGTTATTAATTAAAACAGTGCGACCTTAGTATATTCATGTGGGGGCCACATGCAGTCTCACTGTGATTTACCGTAAGTTGACAGACACTTTAAGAGAAGTGTCAACAGTTTTATTGACAATGAAATCACCAGCATTTTCTTGGGACTTACTTCCAAAGAAAAGAATTCTAATCAATTGAGGGTGCTCAGAAAACCCACAGCATTTCTCACAACTACTCCACAGCTTAGGTGTGTCCCAGATGGGTTTTTCCTCCTGGGGACATGATTCTCTTCATTCTGTAGGTGTGTTTGATGTTCTTGTCTTTCTCCTAAATTTTATTTCCTTAAGAAACAGGTATTTAAAATCTATTCCAGACTCCCATGAGGACACTACTGTACAACATTAAACCATGGAGCTTACAAAAAGTTAACACCTAGCGTTTATATGTTGTTCTATGGTTCATAAAACCTATTTCCATCTATCACCTCATTTTGTCCTCACAATACACCAGCAGTGATGTTACCGTTCAGAGCAGGCTCTATCAGTGGTTGTATCTGAGCAGGTTGCACCAGAAGTCAGTAAGTCTCTGGCCTGGAGGGTTGCCAAGTGTGCTCATCACCAATGTCTGTGTGGACTCTCCTGGCAAAGGAATTTCATACACACCAGTCGGTGTTATTATGTGCAAGGGATGTTTTCCATTGAGTTTAGCAACCTGCTGCACTTTTGGTCACCCATCCCTATTTTAAAAAATATATTTTATTTATTTATTTTTAGATAGAAGGAAGGGAAGGAGAAAGAGAGGAGGGAAACATCAATGTGTGGTTGTCTCTCAAGCTCCCCTTACTGGAAACCTGGCCTGCAACCCAGGCATGTGCCCGACTGGGAATTGAACCCATGACCCTTTGGTTCACAGGCTGGCACTCAATCCACTGAGCCACAACAACAAGGGCCGTCTCTATTCTTTTACCCTCCATTTTCTGCTTTTCTCATCTCTCCATTTTTATTCTTATTTTCTAAAACAACCATGACAGGAAGGGTGCTGAGAGCAACGGGGACTCAAAGCCGATCCTTTCTCCCCCTTTGCCTTGTGTTAGCGAGATGCTCTCAGAGCAGCATCTGGCACATCCCTTGGGAAAAATGAGGATGAAAGAGTATGGATGAGATGGTTATTAGATTGAATCTTACTTCCCACAAGTGCTAGTGAATGAGTACATTATCAGCTCAGCAGTTGGAGTTCCTTTTTGTTCTAATATAGCTCATCATGGCCAGTTAAATAATTCTCGTGAGTTCCAACCTGAACCCCTAATCCCTGGTTCTACAACTGCCACACCCATTTCTTTCACTTGAGGCCATTGTAGCTTTCTAGCTTCTAGAGATAAAAGGCCAGGAGCTTGGACCATACAATGCTATATATGAGCATCTAGAGCCAGAGAAAAAGCAGTAACTTCTGCTGAATTTTATAACCTTTTAGATATATCCACTTACTTTCTCCATATGATTCAGAACCTTCCCCATACCTACTGTGAGGATTGCCACGATCACACATCTGTTTCTATGGTAACGGGCAAGATTTCTCTATCATTCCAATTCCCTGTTCATAACCATCATGCTTTGTGTAGGCAAAACCACAAATGCATCAGAGTGGGAAAGACAGCTAAGCAGTCCCTGGCACTGCTTTGATGGGCATACAATTGAGTTCTGACAGGTTTTGATCAATGTGGGTAGGCAACTTGCTACCTGGCACTTCAAAAAGAGGGTCTTGTGCACTGGCTGGTGTGGCTCAGTGGATTGAGTGCTGACCTGAGAACCATAAGTTCACTGGTTCGATTCCCAGTCAGGGCATATGCCTGGGTTGTGGGCCAGGTCCCCAGTAGGGGGAGTGCGAGAGGCAACCACACATTGCTGTTTCTCTCCCTGTCTTTCGCCTTTCCTTCCCCTCTGTCTAAAAGTAAATGAATAAAATCTTTAAAAAAGAAAGCAAAGGGAGTCTTGTAATAGCATCAGGACCATGGAGGCTGCATTCCAGTCCTGACTCAACCACAAACTGACCACGGGACAGGCAATCCTTTTCTTTTGATTCTTCATCTTCTAAATTAGGGAACACTTTGTGTACTTCATCTCTATTCAAGGTGTAACATTTTGATGAAGACAAATGAGATAATAAAGAAAGCTAACATTTATTGACTACATATGAACAATGCACTTTGCTAGTTGCTTTCCATATCTCAGGTAGTTCTCATAACAACCCAGCAAAGTAGGTATTGTTAGGCTTATTTTACCAATGAAGATATGGATTGAATAACTTGCACTAGCTCCCACAGCCCAGAGGTATTTTAAGGTAAGCTGAAACCTCAGAAAGATTCATGTTATTCTAAATGTGTTTTGAAAACTTGAAAAGAAATGTATATATACTTTCAGTTTCTGGATTGATATGGCAAGAACTTGGAAGTGGTCACTTCTACACTCAGAACAAGAAATAAGCCGAGCAAACTTAAAAATCACCTATTGTTAGATTAATCAGAGATCTGCAGTCAGAAGGCAAACCGCTGTTCTGAAAATGGAGAGACAGAATCATAGCTTACCAAGTGTAGAATCCTGCAGGTAAAGCCAGTATCAGTAAGAACACTTGAAAACTATAATGGAAAGATTGCTAGAGGCTCAGTATGGACTAGCTTAAGAGCTAAAAACTCCAAGGGGTCGAATCTAAGAGGGGACCCCACACTTTGATGAGTTTTACCTTTCAGAGCTCAGCGGGTTCTCTCTGTGAAGAGTGAAGAAAAATTCCCTTTTGTTTCTGTCAAGGGTTTCTTTCAATGGCTACAAAAGTAGCCACTGTGACCCTTGGTAGTGTGGCTCAGTGGACTGAGTGCTGGCCTATGAACCGAAAGGTCAGTAGTTTCATTCCCAGTCAGGGTACATGCCTGGGTTGCAGGCCAGGTCCTCAGTTGGGGTCTTGCAAGAGGCAACCATACAATGATGTTTCTCTCCCTCTCTATCTGCCTTCCTTCCCCTCTCACTAAATGATGTAACATGAAGGGTTAGGAAAAAAATTTATAAAGAAAACAACAAAATAGTCATTGTGAAGCATACCCACACCTCCTCTCTATTCTCCATAACAAGGCCTTGGAAAACTATCTCATCAGAGCTTGACTGGGGTTCTACTGCAGCCTAGCTGACCTGGGGGAGGGACAGGAAATACCTAACTTGGGCACAGGAAAAGACTGAGACCTAACCATAGGACTACAGAACCCTAACAGGTCTCCTGTTTAATAACAGGGCATTACAGCTAAAGAAAATCCAAGTCTCAGATCCTACTTAGAAGTTCCTAAGGACACTCAAAGACAATAAGAGAGGCTAAAACAAGAGCAATAGAAGACATTTTGGCCTTTAACACCACATCTACAGCAAAATGTAAACATAGCAAAACTACTAGTCAGATAAACATAAAACTTCCAGGCCTATCTACCTCAGTTACTTTTACCAAGTATATCATTCAACATTTAGCCCGAAATGATAAGGCATACTAAGGGGCAAAAAAAGAAACAATCTGAAGAGGCAAACCAAGCATTAGAAGCAGACTCCGATATGGCAGATCATTTTGGAATGATCAGACCTGGAATTTAAAATAACTGTCATTAACATGCTAAGGGGGCGAAGGGAAAAATTGGATAATATGCACGAACAGATGGGTAGTGCAAGCGGAGAGATAAAAAAAGCCTAAGAAAGAATCAAAAGGAAATACTAACCCACATAAATATAGTCAAATGATCTTTGACTACAAGCAAAGAATACAATGGGGCAAAGAGAGTCTTTTCAACAAATGGTGTTGGAACAATTGGACATCCACAAAACAATGAATCTAGACAGACACCAGGTAAGACAGACACTTTCATAGTGGGTGAAAAAAAACCAAACCCAAACCTGCCCTGGCTGGTGTGGCTCAGTGGATTGAGACCGGCCTGTAAACCAAAGGATCACTGGTTCAATTCCTAGCCAGGGCATGTGCCTGGGTTGTGGGCCAGGTCCTCAGTAGAGGGTGCATGAGAGGCAACTACACATTGATGTTCCTCTCCTTCTCTTTTTTCCTCTCTTTCTCCCTCCCTTCCCCTCTCTCTAAAAATAAAAAAACTAAAAAAATAAATAACATTTTAAAGAAACCAAAAACCAACTGTATGTTTTCCATACAAAACACACTTTAAAAGAAAGATACAAGTATGTTACAGTAGAGGGGTGGAGAACGACATACTATGCTAATACTAATCAAAAGATATATATGTATTTCAGATAAAGGTGACTTTAGAGCAAGAAAAATGATCTGGGATAAAGAGGGGCATTACATAATGATAAAGTGTTCAATTCTCCAAGAATACATAACAGTCCTTAATGTGTATGTGCCTGACAACAGAGTGTCAAAATTGTGAGGCAAAAATTGAAGAATCCACTCTTATAGTTAGAGACTTCAGCATCCCTTGATCAGTAATGGAAATACCTATCAGGCAGAAAAATCAGTAAGGATATAGT